TACTCACCGTACAATTCTTTTTAAACTACTTTTCCATGGGTTTGAAATGTTCCAAAATAGAAAGTCCAAAAATTACCTAAGGTAAGCACTACATCCCTTTAATCCCCTCAAATATTTTGTTTTTATTACCCATTTCTAAGTTTATTATATTAAGATCACAGTAAGTGTTCCATAAACCTAGGTACTATGAGATAATACAATTAAGATATAAGAAATCTATTGCCCTCCTAAAGCATAAAGCCTCTAAGTTACATACAATTAGGATTACTGTCTATGAACAGTAGGTCTTCTTCCAGATACATCTAAGACTAATAAGCTCCTCAACGGCAATGATCTGGTGGTCCCTTTTGTTTCTCAATGCAGACCTAGGAAGGCTGCATGATACTGAGTAGGCACTGAATAACATTTATGGAATTAAGAAATTAATTACATGGTAAACCAGAATCTTATGAGATGCCAAACCATAAAAAGTTTTCCTTTTATTTCCATTGCCAACTTTCATTTGAATGTTTTTAAAGCTTTGTATTTATAAAAACTCCAAGTTAGAATAAAACATGCCCAATAATTTTTAACATTCAGGTCTCAATAAATAGTTATTAAATAAATATTCTTAAATTGACCTAAATATAGTACCTGAATTTTGTATGAGTTTATTCTAGAAACAAATTAATACAATAAGGTACTCTCAATTATTCTACACACATAATGTTATCTTTCAGCTTGCCACTTTTGAATAGGCTGTTCCTAACACCCCACGAAATTCATCACTAAGCTCTGAACTCTGTAAGGTACCTCCTATATGCACGAAAAGAAACTCATAGACGCTATAGTGCCACTTCTTGTCCCCTCAAACAAAGCAGCCTCGATAGATGTTAACAAGGGCACCACCCTGTTTTCTTCACATTGCCGCATTTCCACTCTTGGTTAAAAATATTCACCCACATATTTAGTTACGCCTAACTGAACTAGTCCACACAGTAATCTTAATACTAGCAGAGAAAAAGTGATACTTTAGATTGTTAAAACATTATACAAAATAAGACTTTTAAATAAAATTTATAGTTATAAATTGTTTATACCCACAGTTTAAACAGAAAAAATATCCAGACTTAGGATTTCAATTTTTATTATAAAAGCAAGTAAGTTGACCAGTAGAGGGCACTCAAGCTGAAAGGGGGGGGTTGAAGAGAGGCCACAGCCTTGAAGAGAAAGAAAAGCATTTACAAAACTGCTGTGTACCTTGTTTTAAAAACAACAGAACGTTTTTACAGAACTCCAGACTAAGCTAATATACTGCTAGTTTAGAAAATGAAAGGTTTCCATCTATAATATGTTAAAAGAAAAAAATAACACAAACCACTCTCATGGACTTGAATTTCACAACTTACAGAATGCTTAAAGCTGTATGTAATGCACATTAGGGTCTCAGCCTGGGCACCACTGACCTCTGGGGCCATGTCATTTTTGGGGGGGCTGTCCCATGCACTGCAGGGAGGGTAACAGAACCCTCGACCTCTATCCACTATAAATGCCAGGAGCAGTCCCCCTCCTCAAATTGTGACAACCAAAATTGTCTCCAGATGATTGACAAATGTCCCCTGACGGGCAAAGTCACCACCTATTCCTCCTTAGTAACTATTGACACATGTTTTTTGTTTTAACAAAAAAGAAAGGAATGAAAGAAAAAAGAAAATTAACAGCTTATATCATTAAACAGTGCTTTTCTTAAATTCCTCTTTAATACTGATTTAATTCTCTCAAGTTTAAATACCTTAATCAGCAAGTAAATTCCACAATTAACATGGAATTGTTTTTTCAAAGAGAAACTGATATATCTTGGCAAATAAGCAGCTCAGAGCACTAAAGATGGAACCAATCAATCCAATTACAAATTCATTCGTCTTTACTGAGGAGAGAACTGTTTCATCAAAGAGACTGAATTATAAATGTCACATTAACAGAGGCAAGCAGATGTCAATGAATTGGAACCTGGGAGAAAATACTTCTTATATCTATTTTTATATTATATCCAGTAGATACTTATTACATATTTGCTAACGGACCACCTGATCCTTCCAATCTCTACTTCCATTTTCCTGCTTCCACCAAATTTTACCTTAGAAAACACATTTCAGAGAATGTATTTTTATAATAACCATGACCTCCAAACTATAAAAGTATGTATTATTTCTAGCGTAGTACCATGTTTGGGGACTGAGTTTTTAATAATCCCACACCACTAAAAAAGTGTTTTGTTCTCTCAGAACTCGTAGATGAGCTTCACAAAAGATAAAGATGAAATCTTCTCAGCATAGAAGTAAAGGTGATTACTGTGCAAATATAAACATGCTCCATCCATGTATCATACCCAATTCTGTATCAATCTCTGCCATTAAGATGCCATCAGATAGTACGCGGAGTTCAAATTTTGATACATTGAGAAATCCAAATCAGCCTCCAATATTATTTTCTTACCGTGAAGGCCAGTTTTTCATTTTTAAAAAGCTATACAAGTGTACAGTGGAAATTCCACTTAACTTGATCTCACTTACTAGCTAAGTATCCTTAAGTAAGTTACAACCTCTCAGAGACCATTTTTATCAATAAAATGAAACTATGACCACCTTTCTTATAGTATAAACCTCTGCAAATTCTAAACAACTAAAAAATATGGTATTACTTAATCAGAAATCTTTCTCTAAACTTCTTTCCCCTTGTTTTAAAGCAAAAAAACTGATGAGAATTCCGAATGTGCCAAGTCTATGCGCTCTCTTATCTTCTCTGACCTACACTGTTCACCAATCAAAAACCTTAGCAGCAGTGATACTCACTCCTCTTCAACCTTTTATAAAAATGTCATGTATCTTTGTTTATTAAAATAAACTACTGAATTCTCCTGCTTTTCTTGTAGTTGAACTACACCAAGAATTTAAAGCGTCAGTTCCCTCAGAGACTCCCGGTCACTTGGAGATAAGAGACAATATCCGAAACCTTTTCCCAGGTGACTACTCCAGTGACGGGACGTCAGCTTCAAAGTTCACAGGCAATCAATGCTTCTCTGGGTCAAGTCTTCTGATTTGGCAGACATCATATCAGAGTTAATGGGTTTGAAATTATAAGCTTTTTCTTCCCCCCAAATAAAGGACAGCCTTTTGCTTTTTTTCTTTAAAATTTATATTACACTTAAACAATTTTGACCAAAAGGTTTCCTAAACTTTTTTTTTTTAATCACATTCTTAATACATCATTCTTGACCTCTGATAGGAAACAGAGCATAATGGAATTCCTCAGATTTTCAGAGAAGATGGGCACTTCTGCTAAAATCATATTCAGAATCCCAGGAAAACCACTGTGCTTTGCTTAACTTAAATTCTATTAAAACTCCCTTTTACTTTCGATTTAAATGGTGGAGTATGCTGGCTTTAGGAACAGGTGAACTATTTAATCCTCCTCAAAGTAAAAAATAAAGAAACCCATCAGCACTGAACTGACTTGCCAAGAGGAAATACAGAGTGACTCTTACATAGGTGGGCCACTCAAGTTAAGACTCTCCTTTTTACTAATGCGAAATTAGGAAACCTGGAAGCCATGTAAAAGTTGATTCTGTGTTTAACTCAGATCTTTGCAAATAAGGGTATTTTTCTTCATCTTCTTTCCTGCAGTACCAAAAATATTTGACATTTCCTTATGAACAGTTATCTACTCAATCCTCAAAAGGCTACACTGCACAGACATCTTTCCATGGCCAACAGTGTCCTCAGAAACTATCTGAGTGCAGTCAAGGTGTTTTTTTTTTAAAAAAAGACATTACACACATAGTACCTTAACAGGGCATTTTGACCTGTTCTAGACTCTACAGCTTGGGACTCAGAGAAAGTTCTGGGCAATTTTTCAGAGCTGATTAAAAATCTGATAGTATCAGATCTAGAATAAAAGTTAAAGGATTAGGGTTGCTTAACTTGGAATAAAGAAGTCCAAGAAATAATCTAACAACATAAGCTATTTCAAAGATGAGCTGGTACTATGTTAAACTTAACCAGGAAGATTCAGACTATGCAAGAAATATGCTAATAAATACATTCCAGAAATTAGTTAAGAAGGACAGTTATGTGACAGTCCCTCCTGCAGGTCTTTGGGATTAAATAAATCCTTATCTGCTTCCAAGCATCTGAGTACAGTGCTGCCAGAAGGCAGTGGGGAATACTACCTGACCTCTCAAGCTCTCTGCCAGGCCTTTATTCTATCATTTTGCTGTTAGTCATCCTTTGGTTCATTTTCATAAAACTGAAGAAGTCTGAAAATTATTAATTAATCAATTTGTAATTAAAAAAACAATTCTAACACTGCCTTGAATAAATTGAAAAAGGGCTGAAAAGCAAAGGTAAGGATTGGTTGGTGGTACCCTTATATATCAGCTGATATACATATCCACAGAAGCAAAGAATGAGCTTTCTAAAATGCATCAGGTAGTTGTAGGTTCTCCACTACTTCAACGTGAAAAGAAAACATGAAAATACTACTAAATAAATGCTTTTAATTCAATCATCAAGTGATTATACATCACCAGTGTCAACTCTACATGTGACATCAAAATATTAAAAAAAAAAAAACCCCAAAACCCCATAAAAACAAAAGCCACCTTTTTAAAAATGACTATTAGATATGTCTCATCTTACAGACGAGGTAAATTCACATTTTCATCCTCTGAGAAAACTCTGCAATACACTCCCAATCAAAATACACATACACTAACACAGAGTGAGCATCACAGGTGGTATCTCTCCTGAGAGAAGATGGGCTGGGCTCTCATATCTATGGTTACTTACAACATCAGAGTAAAGCTGCGAAACCCAAATGCATTTCAGTTAACTTAATAAAAGTATGATTAGTATAACTGCTTTATAATGAGTAGCCAGAGAAAATGACCAGAGAAACCATTTTTTGTACCCAAAGGATGGGCCTGCACAAGTCAATATGCATAATATTAAAATAAGATTTACCTCTATCGTAGGATCATATTCATCCACAAAGTGATTCTGAATTAGCTGTATCGTCAAGGCACTCTTGCCTACGCCACCAGCTCCAACTACCACAAGTTTATATTCAGTCATTTTCAGCAGGCCTTATAATAAAAATAATGAAAATGTGACTAAATTAGAACACGTGCCGCACATGAGGTTAATGTAACCCAAATGCTCTATCAATACACAAATTCACCTTTATATGGGAAATTATTTTCAAAATACTTCACAAAATTCAATGACGGAAACACCAGTTGACTACAGATGTAATGAATTGTAGTTTGTTTACAAACTCCTTCATCAGCATTTGAGAACAATGCATTCAGACTGCACAGTGCTTTTACCTTCGACTCAGGTTGCTCTATCTAAAGAGCCAGTAGTCTGCTGATCTGCAGCAGTTAATGGCTCTCAAAGGAGCAAGCCACGACTTCGCTCAGGACAAGTGTCGAGTGCGCTGCTCTGTGTCCTGTGGACACACCCGCACGGAACCTGTTGACAGCTACCGCCACAGTATTCCTCACTGATGTGGGCCCCTAAGAGTTACAAGCAGATGCGCTGAGTGTCTCTGCTGGAGCTGACAGCTATAGAAAACTTTTTAAAAGCATTATCGTGGTCGTTCTCCAGGACAGGTAGCAAGAATCAAATTGGGGTGGCAGGAGGATTGCCAAAGCTAGACGCTATGCTGGGAAAATAAAAACTGAGACGCCACAGTAGATGAGGACAATATCTGGTGACATTTTAATCTGCAAATTATCTGCTGGGGAAAATAACGGTGTAAAAAATAAGACAACTTTGAGAATTTTGAACAATTCAGCATAGATGATCTGATCATCAATCACAATATATGCTATTATTAGTGCTGAAAAATAGCACTTTGAACAGAAAATAGAATTAAATAATATTAAAGACAAGCATGCTTTTAATGAGTGAATTTTTAAAAGATGTTTGTTATATCTCAGTAACCCATATGACTTTTACTCTCTGCTTGTCATATCAACTCCCAACAGTAGCAATAAATATCAACAACATGTAAGGTTTAACAGCGCCAACACTGACAATATTTTTTTAGTTAGCAGTTTCAAACTCTTTGAAATGAATGTATCTACTTTAATCTCCTTTCCCTCAATAACTACAAGATAATACTACAAATTTAAGTCGTGAACTGGCGATGTCCAGTACTAAAGGGCAAGTAATTCCAGATTAATGAAAGTGCAGATATACTATACAAACATTATATACACGCAGCATCCCATTTACTGAAGATCAAGAATTATCCCAGTAGGCACTCCACCACCCCACCACATCCTTGCTCTGGCTCTATTTCCTGAACCCATTCCCAAAGAGCAGACAGGCCCAGCAACTGCTGTATCACAGTTCCTCATGGGCCTGCTCTGTGCCACCTATCCTTGGCTAGGGCCACTGCCAACATGTATTATGTCCTGTTTGCTCCCTCTTTTCATTCCTAATATTGGCCATAGCAAATGTGATAGGTGAGGATAATCACACCAAAATGTATCCTCTAGTTCCCTGCCCACCCTACCCCTCCAGTAAAATTTGGATAGCCTAGAACAGTAGTTCTCAAAATGTGGCATTAGGAACCCTAGACTTTTGGAGAGGGTCCAAGAGGCGAAACCTGGTTTGATGATAATGGTATGAGATGATTTACCCTTCCCACTCTTATTCTTTCACAAGCGTATACAGAAGTTTCCAGACCTGTGATCACAATACATTGACTACAGAAGCAGCTATGAGGATCCAGCTGTCTTCTACTAAGCCATACAATTAGAGATTTGCGCAAGTGTGAAACAATGCCACTCTTCTCGCTAATTGTTGCATTTGTTTTGGAAAACAGTTACTTTTCATTAAATATTCTATTTCTGTTACCAAGTAAAGGGCTAATTATTTCTTTTTTAAAAATGAATTAATATTTTTTAATTCTCCATTTTCATTTCTGTTGTGGCAATATTGACACACTCCACATTGGGATCTTCAGTAATTTTGAAGTCCTTATGACCAGTAAGTGAGCTAGTCTGGGGAAGATTGTGGGCAAATACTGGATTAGTGCTTAGCTTGTATATACACATGTGAATTCTCAACACTACACACTTTCTGGTCTACTTTTTTATGCAGTGGTTATTTCTGAAAAAAATCTTTGACTTGGATTTCAAAAATCAAGTATTGTTTAAATCCACTAGAGAGAAATGCGTTCCCATGGAAGATCACAGGCCAAAGGAGTTCCCCTCGTCCAAAGCTACATAAGCTAGTAAGGGGTGGAACTGGGACCAGAACCAAGCATTTCATTCAGGCAAAAAATGTTCACTTTTTTGGTCATAAAAGAAAACGAATTATCATTTCATGTACTGTCTCTTAAAACCAAGAATGCCTGTGGACGGATACGGTCTAAGGTAAACAGTGCTGCTATCAACCATTTTTGACGTCTCTAGTCCACTACACGTTCGAGTCAGCATTTTGGACCTTAGTCACCTAAGAATGACATCACTCATAAGGTTGATTCTGAGATGATGACTGTGAACAGAATTTTTTCCCTTTGTAATTTCTTTTGAACGATTTTTTTTTTCCGTTACAAATGTAACATGTATATTAAGTAAAAACTAGAAAATGCTTTTTTTGTTCTTAACCCCTCGTTTTGATGGATCTCAAGATTTAAGAAGGCCAGTTTAGGACTTCACCTGCACCACTGCACATTGCACATGCCTCAGAGTATTTCAGGCACTTGGCTGGCAGATTGCTACAATTAACTTCTCTTGTAGGTCGCTTTGGGGAAAAAAAAAAAAGGCCTGTTTAGGAGTACTGTAATAACTCCTGGGATGGGGGTCAAATTTGTACGCATAGGGGGTAATATAGAAGGCACGGGGGAAAGGAAAACAGGCAAATTAAACTTAAGTGCAATTTTAACTACTGCTGTCTACACTCAACTAGCAAGGAAACAGCCCGGCTTCTGCTGTGCGGGTTAGCTGCGTGTGTTTTAACTTGACAAAGCAAAACAGACCTTCTGGGATTAACTTTTTCCTTTACACGAAGTCCAGGCTTTACGTTGCAGGGTGTTGGCCACCTGTTCTTTCACCACCATCCCTACCTCCACCTCCTCCTTTGTGGCCACAGCAATGTCACAGCCCATACAAGGGGGGAGGGGAGCCGTCAGGAACTCGGCTGCAGATGCGTTTTTTCCAAACACAATAACCTCCATCAGTGGTCTCTAAGCACTTTCCCCTGCGCTGCCTGAACGCGACCTCGCCTCTTACTCATCTATCCCCCCTACACACTGAAGGACCACAAGGCGTCCACGCTGCGCTCGGGGGAGAAGTTTATACCTTCGTCCCAGAGATGAGAGATGCAGCAGAGAAGGCAGCAACCGAGGCAGCCCAGTACTAGGAAGGGAGGAAGAGGTGCGGGAGCGGAGAGGAGGGTGAGGGAAGGACGGCGAGGGGGAGGGGAGGCCGGAACGCCGCGGGAGTAACCTCCACCGCACCCGACCGCCCAGAGGGGCGGCCCGCCCGGCCCGCGAGTTTCTCCCCGGCCGCCTCCAGCCGCGGCTCTCGGGGAGGAGGAAGGAAGGGGTTCCCCGTCCAGGAAGCAGCCCCAGCGGCGGCCGCCTCCAGCCTCACCCTCCTCAGCCCCGCACCGCCCATTCCTCATTCCCCGCGTCGCCGCGTCCCCGCGCCTCCCCCTGCAGACAGCCCCCCCACCCCCAGCACCGGCCCCGTCCGCCCGGCGGCCCGCCCGCCCAGGCCCCGCACCCGCGCCCCCTTCCCGCCCCTCCAGGGACCCCTAATTCATTCACTCGCCGCCGGCCCCGCCCGGCGCCGGCGAGGAGGGTCGGGACCCCGGCAGGAGCCGGGAGGGGTGGTCCGTTCTGTACCTCTCTCCCGCACCTGGGAGCCGCCGAGCCTCTGGCCCCCGCCGCTGCCTTCAGTCCCTGCGCCGCGCTCGCTCCCAGTCCGAAATGGCGGGGGCCGGGAGTACTGACCGAGCCGCCGCCGCCACCTCCGGCGTAGTGGGAGGGCGGTTGGCTCTGGGCGGTGCCTCGGCGCCCGCCGGTGGGGGCGCCGGCGGATCCACGCGGGGCCCGCCCCCAGGCTCCAGCCGCAGGGCCCGGCCAAGAGCCGCAGACTCGGACCCCGGCCGGCTCGGGCTCGGTACCCCAGCGATGCCAAGGCCAGCGCCGCGCGCCGCTGTCGGGTCCACACGGTGGAGCTGCGAAAATCCCGCCACCCTTGGGGTCGGCCTGCACTTGGGTACATTCATTTACGATCATTTATTGCAAGTAAATAAACGTGCAGTCACCCAAAGTAGGAGGCTACTTGGGGGACCTCGGAAGAGACCTGGCCGCCAGTTCCCCGGCCCGGAGCTTTCTGAGCACACCTTGAGGATTACCAGTCTCCACAATCGGGGGCTGAGAGCTAGCCCCAGGCCCATAGAAACGCGACAGAACCTTTCATCACTAATTAAGCGGGGGGGCGGGGNCAGTTCATGGGGTCGCGAAGAGTCCAACAGGACTGAGCGACTTCACTTTCACTTTTTGCTTTCATGCATTGGAGAAGGAAATGGCAACCCACTCCAGTGTTCTTGCCTGGAGAATCCCGGGGACGGGGGAGCCTGGTGGGCTGCCATCTGTGGGGTCACACAGAGTCAGACACGACTGAAGCGACTTAGCAGCAGCAGCCCTAGTTCAGGTAGATGCTAAATGCACATATCATCTTTCTTAACCATCACAACAACCTCATAAAGTCAGATGCTTTTCTCTAGTTTACAGAGGAGGAAACAAAATCAGATAGGTCACAAATTGGGTTCAAGTTCACACAGCTGAAAGGAAGTATCCTTCATGTCAGATCATGTTCTGCTCAGAGTGGCTGCTGTCCTGCTTAACATAGAACAAAACATCTTCTCCACGTCCTCCATGGCCTCAAATTGACACCCCTACTCCTTTTCCTTTCTGAGCTCTTATCCAATATATAATCTGTCTTCCTCACTTCCAAAGATACATGCTGGTTCCTGGCTGTTTTTTGAAAATGCAGGCAGGCTCTTCAGGGAATGTGCACTTTTGCTGCCTCTTTATCTGGAACACACTACATGGTGGCTCAGACGGTAAAGAATCTGCCTGCAATGCGGGAAACCTGGGTTTGATCCCTGAGTTGGGAATATGCCCTGGAGGAGGGCATGGCAATCCACTCCAGTAGGGCAGAGGAGCCTGGAGAGCTACAGTCCATGGGGTCACAAAGAGCCAGACGTGACAGCAACTAAGAGCAATACAATATATCCAAAAAGCCTTCTTTGACACTTTCAAATCTTTGTTCAAATGTCTTCTAATGAATTTCCCAAAAGATCACCTGGTATTGCATCTCTGTTAAGTGTTAGTCACTCAGTCATGTCCAACTCTTTGGGACCCCATGGACTGTAGCCCACCACATTCCTCTGTCCGTGGAACTCTCCGGGCAGGAACACTAGAGTGGATAGGCATTCCCTTCTCCAGGGGTTCTTTCCAACCCAGGGATCAAACACAGGTCTCCTGCATTGCAGGCAGATTCTTTACCGTCTGAGCCACCTAGGAACCAGAGCACTTACCACTTGTTCTAACACAACATATAATTTGTTTTCTTGTCTCTCTTCTATCAGAATATAAACTCCATAAGGGTAGGGATTTTTGTCTGTTTTACTTACCACTACAAACACAATAGGCACTCAATAAGTGCTTGGAATGTTGAATGACTGAAGTTACCCTACTTCTGAACTGCGTGAATCTAAATCCTTCTTTAGACAGAATACCTCAAAGTCTCTGTAGTCTTACAAAATCTGCTTTTAAACTTACCTACATCACCTTCTGATATACCACACCCTGGGGATTCTAGGGAAGTCTGCACATGATGGACACAGTGAATTTTTGTTACTGAATGAATTTGCACTTATTTCTATGTTGCTTTGTAGTCACTCTTCAATGTAAACCACAGATTTATTTTGTCCAACTTCAAGTACATGATAAGCTCTTGTTTTCTCTGACGGCTGCTAACACAGTGTTCTCCCTGTAGCTGGTGCTCCGTAAATCTTAAAAGGACTATAATATAGAAGAGGGAAAAGCTTTATATAGAACTTCTGTGCTGACTATGAAAATTCTGGCATGAGCAGAAATGTAATCCCTCACGTGTCTCAGTTATCATCTAGGCTGGGGATTATCAAGACAGACCTGCATCCCACTCTCTGTTCTGTGCACCCCACACCCCTGCCTCACCTCACACATTTTCTCTCCTAACTTTTTTCACCTATTGTAAGTATATGCACAAATAGCCTTTCTATCATTGGTCCTAAGCAGCCACCTCCTCCCCAACATGCTTTTCTTGACCCTGGACTTAAGGTGTGCATGTTAAGTCCCTTCAGCCATGTCCGACTCTTTTTGACCCTCTGGACTATAGCTTGCCAGGCTCCTCTGTCCATAGGATTCTCCAGGCAAGAATATTGGAGTGGGTTGCTGTGCCCTCCTGCAGGGGATCTTCCCGACTCAGGGATCGAACCTGCATCTTTTCTGTCTCCTGCATTGGCCGGTGGGTTGTTTACCACTAGCGCCACCTGGGAAGCCTAGACTTAGAGCAGTGGGTCTTAAAGGAAAACATTTCACGAATCACCAGGCAACTTTACAAAAATGCAAGTTCCTAGGCCCCTGATCCAAATATCCCATTCAGTTGGTCTAAGATGAACCAGAAATCTTCATTTCTGAAAGTTGAGAAACTCTGATCTAGAAATACTCAGATTCCTCTCTCCTTGGCAGTTGCACTTTCTGCTAGCTTTCTTTGCTTGAGTTGCACAGTCTCCCCTGACTTTACCTTTCTTTCCCCCCCAACTCCACCCCAAGGACAAGCACACAGACCCACACTGATGATGATGCGGCAATAAAAAGGGAATGACAAAAAGTATTAATATAAACTTTGTGCTGTCCGACTTGCTCTAAGAGGTACCTGAAGTTTCTACCTTCTACTGTTATACACTCCTGGGCAGGCAGCCACCTACACATGTGCACACACTCACATCATTTTGCTCTTAATGAAGCTCATGGGCTTCCCTGGTGGCTCAGGGGTAAAGAATCCAGCTGCCAATGCAGAAGATATGGGTTCGATCCCTGAGTTGGGAAGATCCCTTGGAGAAAGAAATGGCAACCCACTCCAGTGTTCTTGCCTGGGAAATCCCATGAACAGAGGAGCCCAGTGGGCTATAGACCCTGAGGTCACAAGAGCTGGACACAACTTAGTGGCTAAACACCACCACCCAGTGAAGATCATACTGACCCTTTCCTTCATGGGATACTCCCTGATAGAATCAAAAGCCAAAGCAACAGGGACACCCTGTGTTAGTTGGGCTCTTATGAGATATAAAATGCCAGGACATGTCCACAATACTGCAAATGCTGAGGGTGTATTTAAAGAAAATTAGGAAACTTTATAAAATCGTATCATATCACCAGCCAGAACTCCCATTTGTTCCAGGAATCAACTACAGCTCTTGTGATCCAAAATAGGCTCTGGTTGCTTGCTCAGCCCCTCTTTAACAAGCATCTGTTGCCTATACTCTAGTAATTTTGCCATTCTCTCAAATCTGCATCCCCCTGCTTCTTTTTCATAGTCTCAGCCTGTACTGCCATCTCTGTTTCTGGTGACCACTCCCTGTGACTTGTGTTTGAAACATCCCAAGAGAGAGGATCTGAATGTATCTGTCGTTCATTATTCATTAGGATGGGCCTTTATGGGACACAGTTTTCCTGATGGGCTACCTGATTGGTGACTTGGTCTTCTTTATGCCTGCTTAGAGACCACTGCTTTTGTTTGAGTGCCAATCCTGGGTCCAGACAGTGGTGGCCAAGCAGCAGGACATGGAGCAGGGAAAGTTAAGCAAGAGGGGCCACCTATGGATGTTTCCATGGACCCTCCCTCAGTTTTCTCAGATGGGAAATTTGTATTGCTGAATAGGTGCTGTTTAGGTAGGTTTTTAAAATGAATTAACTTATTTTTGGCTTTGTTTGCTTTGCACGGGCGAGCGGGGACTACTCTTGGTTGCAGTGCACAGACCTCTCATTGCAGTGGCTTCTCTTGTTGTGGAGCATAAGCTCTGGGTGTCCCGGCTTCGGGAGTTGCAGCACGCAAGCTCAGTAGTTACTGCTCGTGGGCTCTAGAGCGTGAGCCCAGAAGTTATGCCACGTGGGCTTAGTTGTGGAGTATGTGGACTCCACGGGTATGTGGAGTTTTCCTGGACCGGGGATCAAACCCATGTCCCCTGCATTGGCAGGCAGATTCCTACCTATTAAATTACCGGGGAAAGGTTGGATGCATGAGACAAGTGCTCAGGGCTGGTGCACTGGGAAGACCCAGAGGGATGGGACGGGGAGGGAGGTGGGAGAGGGGGATCGGGATGGGGAACACATGTAAATCCATGGCTGATTCATGTCAATATATGGCAAAAACCACTACAATATTGTAAAGTAATTAGTCTCCAACTAATAAAAATAAATGAAAAAATAAAAAATAAAAAAAATAAATTACCCGGGAAGTCCTGAATAGGTGCTATTTATTTCCCTTGCCCAGCACATAGTCTCCTCTGGACACTTATTTCATCAGACTTTGTGTTCCTTTTTGGCATATCTGTTTTCTCCACTAGGCTGTTAACTTCTCAAAGTCCTTGCCCCATCTTACTCTGTATCCTCTATCACATTGTAACGCCTCTATGTAGTGAATGAAGTTATAACAAAACTTCTGCCTTGTCTCTGCACAGTCACTTCGTCTCCTCTAGCTAACTTCTCAGACCATTTCTTTTTTTATCTATCTGTTTCTTTGGCTGCACCCGGTCTTAGTTGCAGCACATGGAATCTCAGTTGCTGCATGCGGGATCTTTGCTCGCGGCACGTGGACGCTCTAGTGGTGGCATGCAGTCTCCGCAGTTGCAACTAGTTGGACTTGGTTGCTCTGAGGTGTGTGAGAGCTTAGTTCCCTGACCAAGGATTCAATCTGAG